TTTCTAACTTTATTTTGATAATAATTAGAAATTTACACCTGATTAAATATTCAATAAAACATATTTTACGATGCACTAGCGCGCCATCTGTTATCAAATTACAAAACTATTCTAGACGCGTAATATTCTTTTTAAAATAAAACAATTTCTACTGCCCTTACTGCAATGGAAAAATTAAAGGGAGAGCCTTTTTTTCATTTTTCCATTGCAGTAAGGGCAGTAGAAATTGTTTTATTTTAAAAAGAATATTACGCGTCTAGAATAGTTTTGTAATTTAATAAAACATATATTTCTCTGTTTATAATTATAAAATTTAAAAGTTTTCAAAAATGACTGGGTGAATAGAATGCATATAATATCAAGCTGTTGAATAATTTCATTTTTATTTGATATATTTTCTTGAGCATAAACTGTATAATATGTATACAAACATCGTAGGTAAAATATAATAAAGCATTACCAAATTGCGCAAATTCGCTTTTTGCATAAATTTCAAATATTTAACTAAGCATTGTAAATATATCTGAATCCCATTTAAAATATACAAATGTAAAATAAAAAAAATATTTGTTTCAATTATAAAATATAATATGATTAAAAAAGTTATAAACTCCACAATTTAATATATATTTAATCAGAGAGTTTAAGGTAAATATTTAATTCAACACATTGTTCCATATCTTACTACATAAGTAATAAGAAAGGTTATATATTAAAATTTCACAATTATTTCTAATAGTTAAGAATAAATATGATATATGAATAATTCATACAATAAAACAATATTTGGGATCTTTGCAGCGATTGCAGTTGTAATATTCCATGTAATTCCAAGGGTATCAAAAGAAAAAGTAAATGGGGCCTTATGTTAAGACATATTGCCTTCGCGGCCTTGCCATTGATTTCACATTAGCCGAGACTTCGATCCCATAGGATAGCGGCTATAGACGACTGTGGCATTGATTGCCTTTTAAAATATTTATTAGCTGGAATATAGCGCGCATTATTTATATAGGACAGCTAGGTATACATTTTCCTATATATGTTTTTATCTAAAGTTAAATTTGAATTATCTTACAAAGAAATGTCATATATACATTAGGAAAATCAAAAAATATTTATCGCAAGTATATAAAATATAATAGATTTGAATTGGAGCTGTAGTAGTAATTATACAGTCTTTACTTTTCAAATATAATATCAATAATTATCTAGTATTGAGAAAAGGCGGTTGCAGAAACAAACAAAGGTCTAAGCGATTTCTGTCATATTTTATCATTTTGGGTATCAACTGTATAACTCACATCTTTGAGAATCTGGATAGTGCTTTTAATTAAAAGTTTATTGATTCCTCTCTCTAAAACCTTAGTTTATATTGTAGGCGAGTGGTTTGCATTTTGACGAAATTTAAAGTCCAAAAATTAGAATTCCAGTAACTGGACACGTTGAGCGTTGCCTGGGTATTATTTGCCTTGTGATATGAATATGAAATACGTAGGATAACATGATTTTTTCCATCTGCTATTATATTTATCTACGGTTCAATAATGACATCAGGATTCTGGTGTAGGTATAGACATTCATTCTGAGGTTCTGCTCAAAGAAATGGGGAAATTGAGAAGCGCCTTCATGGAGACCATGGTTTCTGGCTAATGTCCCTCGTCAGATCAGGGCGGGCTTTATTTCATGAGATCCACAAGGCATCGAATGAAATCTTCACCATATGCCAAAGAGGTGTTTAGCTAAAAGAGTGGCATGAATGTTTATCTCGTAGAGTGGCTTGAGTGTTTATCTGGTAGAGTGACTAGACGAATCTATTGAAAAATATAGATCGGAATTTTGCATGTTGGAGATTGATCTATAAATTAACGGTCGCTTCTTCCTTTTAAAATATACGCTAAGACTAAGCGTCATTTAATGATAGCCTCCACAAACTAGCGGAATCAGGTCGGTATTAAAGCCACAACACCAGCTTTGGAAAACCGAGAAGCGCCTACCTGGAAATCACGGTGTCGGTCTAATGAACCTCGTCAATCCAAAGTGGATTTTATTTCATGAGATCAACAGCGAATCAAATGAAATATTTACAATCAGCCAAAATGATGTTTACCTTGTAGGCTAAATCTATGGACAAAATATAGAACAAACCTTTTTTGATAGGAAAGATATTGATGTATTAAAATATTTGTTAGAACATTCGTAGCAATGTTTAATAGTTTGAAAAAAAAATGATAACACTTATTTTGAAGAATAAGAGATCAAAAAATATATTAACTTTTCAATGTCTTTTTTTATATTTGAAAAAGATAATTTACTCGTATTTGATATATAAAAAAAACAATAAAATATTATATCTCAACTTCAAAAAATAAGTTTTTTTTACAAATCTAATAACATACAAAATACTTTTGATTAAAATCTGAAATCAGCCTTCTTCAATCGTTCAATTGATCATTACTGATTTGAAAAATAATTTATTAATATAAATATAGAATAAACTTTTGTAATCATTTTATTTCGAAATATAAGCCATTTTTTCATAATTCGGGAAATACTTAGATCTCACTAGTTGACATTCATTTATATAGATGGAGTTTTGAGATAAAGATTCTAAATTCAGCGATGAAAGTTCAAATATCCACAATTTATAGTCCTATAGATATATTGACTATTTTATTAAATATTAAATTTATATTTGATATTACAAACAATTGTTTGAATTTTTCTAAATAAATATATTTTAAAATTTTTGATCAAAAAGAAAATGTAATCATAAATGTAAATTTACAGGTATTGCCTAAAATATATCAATACATTATTCAGATTGAAATTCGAAAACATTCAAGAATTTTCATTTTAAAAAACCTAAAAGTTTCAAATATAATTTTACTGTCCTAAAAGCCTATGTCCATAGTTCTCTTAAAATTCATTTCTAAGATTCCACTCTTCATTGCAGCATATAAAAGCAGAATGATCGAATACAGTATTGGAGCTCTAAAGAAGTGGTCTGATAGAATAAATTGGCGAAACAGCTGAGAGGGTTCACCACTGATGAACCAAGCCCTCACAATATTTTTTCATTGCATTGAGAACAGTGGAAGTTTGATTTATTTGTTGAAAAAAAAAAAACATTCGCGTCTTATGGTCTTCATTCATCATATATATATGAAAGTATTTCAAAGTTCCTTTTCACATCAACCTATGAATCAACTAGGATTTGTTTTTAAATATGGTTCTAACTATTAAATAAAGCTTAATTATTGATGAATTCAAGCGACTTATTCAAAATTCCAAGATGGCCTTTGAAAGAGATAAATACAATTTTCTCAATGTTAATTAGATTTTTCCAAAATAACAGATAATATGAATAAAATAATGTAAAATCACTCCGAGAATATCTATTCTGTATTTTAATGGCTCTCTTGTTTTTTTTTATGCATCGGATAAATAGTTCATCAATACGGATAAAAGAATCTACCATTTTAATTTATTCACTTTTTAGCTTCCATCTCAAACAAGAAGAGTTTAGAGTTTATGCCTGATCGAGCCTTTCGATAGGCAACAAGGTCATTTGTGTTTAGAGATTAGATGTTTTTATCGAACAATATTAATTTATAAAATAAGACATCTCCTTATCGTGCAACTAGAAGCATCTTTCACCATCTGTTGGAATATGAAAATCAACAACTAGTTGATATTTATTACAACAGATGACGCCAAAGCCATCAGCAACTTTTATTTGCACGAGCAGGAGATTCTTTTCTTTATAACCACCAGATCCCAGTACAATTTCACTTTTATGCTATTTTTCAAAATAGGAATTTGACCCCATCATATTCTTTCTGCTATAGCTTTAAAAGCTAGTCTTAGATATAGTATTTGTTTTTCAAAAAAGGGTCAGAGTGTCATCTGTTCAAATCAAATTACCCAGAAAGTAAAAATAACATAATAATGAATTTCTAGATTTATGTTTCAAAAGGCGGTTTTTATCCTCATTATCATTTGTTAATATGAATATAATTGGCGAATTATGTGACTATAAAGGGCCAATATTTCTACATCTACATTTCATGTAATTTTAATATCGTAGAATAACAATGAACAGGTTCTTATTGATTTATAACAAAATGAAACACAATGAATGACTATTTTCGAGCGACACATGCCAGCGCAATTACACCAGTAGAATCAAAACCTTAGTTTATTCCAACTTTTAATGACAAAATGCCTTAGAGAGGTACTAGGAGTGTTAATGTTTTGGGCGTTTCCTCATGGGGGAATTTATACTAGATATAAACAAATATTTTGCAGGAAGGAGTTATATATAGGCCATAAATGTATATTTTAACATATCTGAACGGTCGCCCTCTATTTTAATACTTTTTCTTTTTCATAAAGATAGAGGCTACCTGGCCGGCATTCATGTTATTGAAAATAAAGATACTTCGGCCAGTAATATTTTATTAACTCGACGTTTTGACAAAAATCTTTTGTCCTCGTCAACGTGACCTTTTTTTAAACTTCATCTACATTACAATCAACTTTACTATTTAAAATTTATATTAGAATATTGGAAACTCTAATTAAAACTCTGGTAGAAACTATATATATTAGTAAATAAAAAACTAAAAGGTCAATCCTGAAATCCCTTGTCCCCAAACCCCATTATAGATTTACATGATATTTTTATAGCTTTGTACTTGGAAATAAATCGAATGGTTTGTTGCATAGAATTGTTAATGTGCGACGAGTTTTGTAGGTTGTAGCTTTCCTTTTATTTATAATTAGATGCAAATAGAATCAGTATAACAATCATTTTAATACTCATAGACATATCTTAAGAAAACTGTACTTTTTGGCATGCATATGATTATTCAAGCAAAAATTCCAAGTGTGAACAAAATTGCCTCTGTGTCCTTCAAAAGAAAAAGCAGACAGCCAGCAGAATCAACAACATCTCATTTATAATACAATATAATATTCACGAACGGAAAAATATTTCCAGGGTAGCCTAGTGGACATGGCATCTGCCCGGTAAGCGGAACATTGTGGGTTCGATTCCCATTCCTGGACACTTTTATTTATCCGTTTATCATTACTCTTCACAATTCATCCTCTCATACTTCATCCCTAAGGTTGGAAATAATCGTTATTTCTCCTTAAAATAAATTTCGATTTTTCGTTTAAAAGAAACACATGCGGGATAAATTTCAAATGTCGTTCTACAATATCTCATTTCCTTAAGTTTAGTCCATAAGCGTATAATCTCTCTCAAAGATTATTCTACTTATTTTTAAAATTATTTTGGCAATATAATCCATTACTCATAGCTAAATGTAATGAAGTAAAATTCTTAATATGCCTCATATTTAGTTGAGTAAAATACATATAGTATAAATATATATTATATTTATACTAGAAACAGTTTTGTAGTGATATATATTCATCAATTCATCTGTATTAGAGCGTTAAGGCCCAGAAACCTGAAATCCAATATCAAAAGAGCTTGTTAATAGTATAATCCTTACGGTAAAATTAGAAATAAAAGAGAATTTTTCGCTGAGGGAATCACGACAATACAAGATTCCTTGCCTAACAGCCCTTCGAGACAGGTATAATCACGAAATAAAAATAAAAAATTCTTCCTACAGAGAATTGCCTTTAATTTATAATTTAAAGAGTTATATAATATATAAGTGTTCCTGTGGATGATTAATTTAAAATGACATTGTTCTGGATTTTTCAGGGATGACCTTGCTTCGAGAGATCGACTCCGAAGAATTCATAAAGATGACAAATAGGCCTTGTAAAGATGTATTTGCCATCGTTTACACCGAGCTGGGCCCGGACTCCAGACGGATGGTACAGAGGGCCGAGGAGGCTATGGAGGTTCTGGAGCTTGGCGACCTCATAGAAACTGTCAAACTGAACAACGACAGGCACAGAGTCCAGTTCCCTTTCAGCATCACTCACTACCCGACTCTGTTCTTCATCAAGAAGAACGCCCGTGTCCCTGTGCCCTACCCAGGCGGTGAAAATGTTCGCGACATCGTCAAGTACATCGCCCAGAATGCTACGGATGAACTGCCAAATTTTAACAGAAAAGGAGCTGTTAAACGGAGCATCGCCTCGTAATAATTTCAAATAAAATATATGGAATATCGTTAGATTATAGTGTTTCTTTTATATATCGTTATATTTATATAAAAAGGCATATATTTGATCAAAATAGAATTTATTTTACCAATATTTCAGTTGGCTGAACGTCAACCTTTATCAAGGTGTTATAACATTTTAATGATATAAAATGTTATGAAACCTTGATAAAGGTTGACGTTCAGCCAACTGAAATATTAGTAAAATAAATGATATTTCAATCCAATATATGTCTCTTTATTTGAGGATTTATTTATGGATTTCTCTATTTTCAGAACGATATCGTTATATGTTCGAATATGATGTCCTATATAAATTGGAAAATCTAAATCTGCACTTCACGAAGATACAGAATCAGGGAATTTATTTATTCTAATAGAATTTACCGAATTTTGTGTGATATGTGTTTGTGCGAAATTCCAATGCCAACATTGGCTGCTTCAATGCTATCTGAGCGCTCTCTTTATTTAAATACTAAATTTAACCTAAGAACTGATTTTAAATATCTCTTATTACGAACATATATGCGCGGTGTTATCGTATTTTGTTTTCTAATATATATATATATATATGAAGGGTCGTGATCTATCATATATGCTAAAGCAACATGACATAGTTATAAAAAGCCAATCTGTATACTATGATATTATTCTAATGACCCTCATAAGAAATTGTGCGGTTGGCTTGATTTCGTAACTTTCTAGGATAGGCGTTAGGAAACCAATCGTATCTGTCAAAAACGTGTTTTTACCTGGTGATGAGAAAAGATCGATCTCTGGACATATAGGAAGTTACCATGGTATACAGATTAACTATTGCCTGAATTATTTGAATTTGATTTTCTGACTCATACTATTATCTCAATGGTTCATTCTAAGAATAGGAATCAATGCATTGTTTTATACGTTCGAAAAGAAGAGATGCCTTATAGGCGCATAAATATATTTCTCTCACAAACTTTGATATATTTAATTATATATTACACATAGACATGAAATAATTAATTTGCTCTCTCTCTCTCTCTCTCTCTCTCTCTCTCTCAATAAAGTATGTTTCAATCTCTCACTCTATCTCCTGGACGCAGAGTACCTGCAGGCTTACTTTCAGCGTTTCCAGCAAGAAGACGACAGCTCCAGCTTTTATTCGGAGTACAGGCGGAGACCATCGTCCTGCGAGTTTCGGCTACACCCAATACTCGCATCACAAGCCAGAGAGCGTGTCGGGCACTGGACTCGGCACGGCTTCAGGCGCATTCTGTTATCGAGCTGGCTGTGCGGTAGCCCCCACCGTGGATGTGCCCGCTTCATTCCCTGGGTCGACCAACGTCGCAACTTCTACTCGGGGAACAACGCAGACATCTCCCTACGGCTGGCCTTACACGCCCTATCCAATCCTGACCATCCTGCCTCGAGGTCTGCCATCGAGTCTCGAGTGATGTAATTGTATAATCCGCACCAGATGGCTTTAAGTGTCCCCCTTATTCCCCGTACATAATCCTTTGTGATATTTCAATTTTACTTTCTATGTTCGTCCGTATCATCTTATGTTTTTCTCCTTTTTTTCATAATCGCCATTCTATCGAACTATATATAAAATCGCCATATATTATTCTCATACAACGATAAAATGGAAGGTTTACGCATTTCTTATTATGCAGAGTGAAATATATATATTCACATTAGAAAGGAAATAAGCAACATAATTTCTATTAATAAAAAAAGGAAAATCTTATCGTGCAACTAAAAGTTGCTGATGGCTTCTGCCATCTATCTGAATAAATATCAACTATTTATAGATTTTTAATTATTCCAGAGTTGGACAAATATCCATTCTTGATTAATAAAGAAAGGCTCACCACATTTGCGTTTCCTAGTACAATATCACACACATATTTATACTATATTTTCACATAATTTCTATTACAAAACAAAAAATATTACAATGGCAATAATAATTACATAGATGCCACACTCTAATAAGCAAGCTTTTACAGAATTAACTAGTTTTGTTTAACTTCCTCTCTCTAATTTAAACTATAATTAGAAAAGACTGGTTTATTTACTAGACAGAGTGGTACTGAACCAAAGTTCTGGGCCACAACTCGGCAGCCGCGGACTTAATTGCTTCACAAATGACTCTTGTGTTTTACTCCACTCAGATTATTAAAATGTAATTTTAGAACATGACTCGCACTCTATAATGTGAAAAACACTTTATCATAAATATTAAATTACCCTTAATAGTCTCAAATTTATGAAAATAGTTGAATATTTTTATCCAAATACTCTTGAATATCACGTATTTAACATATAATAGAGAAAATATATTACTTTAACAATCTAAACCTCAATAAAAAATTAGTAAAGTATGTAAATATATATATATATATATATATATATATATTTTTTGAGAATTTATATAAATGAATGACTAATATATATATATTTTAGATTATACCACTTTCGACCCGAGGGACGTGAATTCGCGTCTTTGCCGACGTTTTACAGGAACATTAGGTCAGCTGACATCCCCACAACCTACTGATAAATTGACAAGATCCTGGTGAACGCGACGTTGGTATTTAATATTTTATTTAATTTTGAAAATCTAGGAAGCGAATTCGCGTCCTTCAGGCTTGATTCAAATTCGGAAAGGACACGAATTCGCATCCCTCGGGTCGAAAGTGATAACAATGTATATATTGGATTGAATAAAATATTCATTTGCCAATAAATGTTTTTTAATAAAATAAATGAAGCTTTCAAGGCTAAGTTTCTTTATCAACTTTTTATTTTCACACACACACACACACAAGCCTTTTTATTGGGGCATCCAGCCCTATACATGATTCCCCTCTACAGGATTTAGCAAAGGAAGATATTTCGAAAGTAAAAACTAGAATACAGGAAGCAATAAGGAAAAAGAAAAGCGAGAAGAAAGAAAAAAATATATATAACCATATATACAAAAAATAAACATACAGAGCAAAAGGAACCATACATGATTAAATATTTAAATTAAAGTACCAATGTTTAAAATATGTCAAGGTTAGGATATCATTGAGAGGGCTAGTGTTGAATCAGCCGCATTCAATCTTCGTTTTCTTCCTCCAAGCAAACCACGACATTCGGCGCATCCATTGTTCTCCAACGGACATTGACTGCGGCCTTGTAGAATTTATATAAACCGAGGGAGAGACCCTGATCAACCATCAGTGTGTTCATCCAGCTGCAAATTTGTTGGCAGTCAGGTTGAGACCAGGGTGAGTCACCCAAAATTTCTTTCCTCTGTTTCTCTAAGCAAGAGCATCCAAATATTATATGCATAATTTCGTCTTGGATTCTGTTTTTACACAGATCGCAAGTTAGAGTCAAATCAATTTTCCAGCGATTTGAACGATTTTCTGGGAAGATCGTCCAAAGGAGTCTCAGTTGTGCAAAAAATATTTTAATTGCTAGAGGAATAGTTGTGAATAAATATCGTTCTGCTGTTATTGAATTTTTTAGGTATTTGAAGTGACTGTAATGTGAAGTATTTAGGATTTTCGCCATGTCGTTTTGGATGCTTTGTTCGGTTGCTATTCGAATAATACCAGGGATTTCAGTCATTATTGCAGCGTAATCCGGACAACCCTTCAGGAACGAAAAACCGTTTGAGTCTAAAATGGTTGACAGGTTTTCGACAAAAGTTAAACCAGCCCTTTGATTGCTGTGTAATGTCCAGAGGTGTGACAAACATGCCCGGGGCAACCTACTCTCTTCCATTTTCATAATCCTCACCCAAAATCTCAGGACCTGTTTAATTATGATAACTTCCTGTGATACTCGTCCACACTCCATTCTTAGCATAAAGCCCGGAGTATACTTTGGTAAATTTAGGTAGCGTCTTAAGAAAATATTCTGAACCTGATCAACTAC